GAAGCGAGGGCGTGTGTGTGTGTGCTGGTCGTCCCACCTGCTGCTGCGCGTCCCCACTGCTCGGTGGATGCGCCCACGCTTCGGCTTCACTTCACGGGGTTTACGTTTGATGTTTCTCCGTTTGTTTGCTTGTGGTTTTGCTTTGATTGACTGCGCGCATTCCGCGGGCTGCACATTTCTGTCTCGCCGTGCGCTTTCCGGCGTGTTATGTTTTCTCTCTTCTTCTTTTGTTTTGTTTTTGCTTGCCGCCTCGTAGATCTGCCAACTGCTCCCAGCGACTTTGCTGCCACCACCACCACAAACACTGCGACGGATGACGATGGCGACGGTGCGGCGCCGTGCGGTGTGGGCCCTGGCGGTCCTTGCGCTGCTGTGCGGCAGCTGCTGCCTCGTGTGCGGGGCGGCGGCGTCATCGAATGTTTATTCGGTGGAGGTGTCGTATCCGAAGACTGTAGGAAAAGTACGGTGGCGTTTTTCTGACGAGAATAATTCTGATTGGAAGGACTGTTCGCCGTTGTTGTCGCATAATAATATGCTTGTGGTTGAGGAAGCAAGTGAAGGCAACATTGACGGTAAATTCATGTGTTATCTTTTCAAATCAGGGTGCTTCTTCATCTCAAATAGGACATCCCTTCCAACCTCAGTCCGGGATAACAGTAATGATGTTGTGTTCACGATGAAATGTACGTCGCGTTACGGTTGTGAAGCCCCCTTGCCGTTGAAATGCGAAGCCGTTACCCCCAATGGAACTGATTTCGAACGTCTTGACTCTTCAGGCGAGTGGGAGTTACACGTCCCCGATCAAAACGCAGTTGGACCAACGTCTGGGGTCCCGCCTTCCGGAGAGCAGTCGTCATCACAAGCAGCACCAACACCGGCAGTAGCAGCAGCAGCGCCATCTTCGGCGGGAAATCCGCAGGTCGGCAGTTCGGCAAGCAGCGGTGCGAGTAATGAGGTCTCTGCTGCTCATGCTGCTGGGCAGCCAGGCGGTACGGGCTCCACCGAACTTCAGGGAACATTAACACCACCGACTGGCACTGCGGATTCAAAAGAAGCAGCAGACGGTGGGGCACAATCATCTTCAGCCTCCGCACAGCCATCCGGCACGCCCACTTCCAACACTCCCGGCGGCGGCGATGGTGGAGGCGCCACTACAAGCACGACCGCCAGCAGCCCCAGTGGTGGGAACCACACGAAAGACAATGCGGACGGCAGCGACACGTCCACTGTGTGGGTGCGTGCCACGCCGCTGCTTCTGCTGCTGCTGACGGCTGCCGTTGCCTGCACTGCTGGGGAGTGACTGCTGCGGGGCAACCGCACACACGCACACACCCTGGCAGGGCGACGCAGCGTGTTTGTGCGCTGAGTTTGCGTGTCGTCCCCGTGGTCCAACTCCTTTCTTGTGCTTTGAGGGGTACTCCTTTGCTTTTTTTTTCACTTTTGTTTCAATGGTCGTTTGCTACGCACATCCCAATGGGTGGTGCCTCCCCCTCCTGTTTGCCGCTGCCATCAACACACGCACGCTGCCGGCATCGTGGCTGTGCGTCGCACGGACTGCCCGAAACGAGAGACGAGGCCGCGGAGACCGTGAGGGGCAGCCGTGATGTGTGCGATAAGGCAGTTCTTTTTTTTATGCGGGCAATGAGTACACCCACACACAGCCCTCTTGCGCCTCCGGCCATGTGAGTGGAAACGCCTGCCAACGTAATT